ATCAAGACCGAGTTTCTGGTTCAGATGCAAGGTGAGCCTTTTATACGTGTTACGACCGTCTGTGTCAAACCCTGATCCTGGATGGAGTTTAGCTCCAAACCTAATTAAACACACCTTATAGAAACTAAAATTATGGGTTATTGACTACACTGTGTTTGTCTGAAATGCATTCCAAACCAGCAGTGATGCAAAATCTTTTAATCAAAATCTGTTTCATTTTTGTCTAAATTGCATCAGGGTTTTTTTAGATAGAATTGTATTGGTTGAATCTATTTGTTTTACCTCAAAGAATTAACAAATTAATGAATGAAGAGCATTTCATTTTTGCATAATGAGATTATTTAGTTGACTATTTAGCACATTTCCACCCCCAAATTCTCATTACTGAAATGCAGAAATCATATTACTGTGATTCTGAAAAAATTCACATACATCATGTTGGTATTTGTTAGTTTTAATGAACCATTAATATCTAATTACATTATCTAATAAAAATTCATTATAGGTGTTGGTAATGACAACGAAGGGATTCTGGTGCTGGGAGCCACAAACATCCCCTGGACGTTGGATTCTGCCATCAGAAGACGGTAATAATTTGTTTTCATGAATTACTACAGGGAAAACCGAAAGAGAAGCGTCAGAGAGGAGTGATTATCAGTGTCTGTCAGTTAAAGATGATCTCATTGTCAGTGTGATACATCATGATTGAATGACATCACTGAGTGACATCAGCTAGAACAGGTTATTCAACTCGTGTAGTTCAGTATGAGCCAGAGAGCACGAATCACTATGAATCACGTGAAATGTTATTATGAAAGATCTACAGGTCTATACAATTTATGTGTGTATATATATGTATGTGTATATATTACTGCTTTTACTGTATTTTTCATGTAGCCTTGTTGAGCGTAAGAGATTGCTTTGAAAAACATTTAATAAAAATCGTCCCAACCCCAAACTCTTGAACAGTAGTCTATGCACCTGTGACCTACACAAAGGGCGACTAGAAGAATATGATTCCCATGCCTCCATTTGTGTTATTTCATAAATTTTGACTGGATTGTCTGACTGTTGTTGTAATATGTGAAAAATGGTAACAAAGAATGAGTGTGTGTGTGTGTACCTATCACTCTTTAACTGTAAGAGTATATGTTCATTGTTTATCTTCTGTGTTGTGTTTAGATTTGAGAAACGCATCTACATTCCTCTGCCAGAAGAGCACGCTCGCGGATTCATGTTCAAGCTGAATCTGGGCAGCACGCCTAACAGTCTCACCGAATCAGACTTCATGACTCTGGGCAAGAAGACGAACGGTTACTCTGGTGCTGACATCAGCATCATCGTCAGAGACGCCCTCATGCAGCCCGTCAGGAAGGTTCAGTCCGCCACTCACTTCAAACGGGTGAGTCCTCAATGACACGGATTACATCAACACTTTAAGAAACCGAAACGGAGCAAACGTGAAATGAGTCTTAAATGAATTACTCCCCATTCTAATCGTAACCATTATCTTTTTTTTCATTAGGTACGAGGACCATCAAGGAGTGACCCGAATGTCATAGTCGATGACCTCTTAACCCCTTGCTCCCCAGGTGATCCACAGGGTACTGAAATGACATGGATGGAAGTCCCTGGAGAGAAACTTTTGGAGCCAATTGTTTCCATGGTGAGCATATTTTTTACACCATCAGTATACACTAATTGTGCTTAATACAGTATGTGACTATTGTTCATAAGAAAAAATGATGCTGTGTCCCAGTGTCAAGCTATTTTTGTCTTCCTGAGTGCAAAAGCTCTGTTGAAAGTGACTCTATATTATGTGAAAAATTTGAAATATGTTCTATCTGCTTTATTTACACACCCTTTAAATGCATAAATACACTACTGTTCAAAATTTTAAGGTCAATAATATTTTTAAAGAAATGAATATTCAGCAAGGATTCATTAAATTGATAAAGTGACTGTAAAGAATTTCATAATGTTGGAAAAGATTTCCATTTCAAATAAATGCTGTTCTTTTAAACTTTCTATTCATCAAAGAATCCTGAAAAAAATGCATCACTGTTTCCCCAAAAACTATTAACTTTTTCCAACATTGGTAATAAATCAGCATATTAGAATGATTTCTGAAGGATCATGTGACACTGAAGACTGGAGTAATGATGCTGAAAATTCAGCTTTTTGCACAGGAATAAATTACTTTAATATATACAGTATATATATATATATATATATATATATATGTATGTGTGTGTAAATCGAGAACAGTTATTTTAAATTGTAATATTATTTTACAATATTACTCTCTTTGTTGTTTTTTGATCAAATAATTGCAGCCTTGGTAAATAATAACAAGTTTTTAAAAAAAAAAAGTTTATTTACTGAGCCCAAACTTTTTAACATTATATCTGTGTGTATTTTGGCTATTTTGCAGCATGTTTGAATGGTTCAGCTGAGTAGAATAATAATAATAATAATTTTATAGAATAATATAATTTTTTAGTGTTTCAAAAGAAATATTAATGCAATTAGTATTTATTAAAAAAAGTAAAAAATAAAAAAAAAGATAAATTAAAGGGTTAGTTCACCCAAAAATGAAAATTAGGCTGTTTTACTCACCCCCGAGTAGGGATATGTTGGTATCAAATTCTCATGTTGCGATTAATTGCTAATGCTTTTATCACGGTATACGGTATTATCACGATATTGAAATTTAGTTTAAAAAAAAGTGCTGTCATAATACAGTATAACAGGTTTAATAACTTTTTTCTTATAACAAAAATAACTGAACATTTAAATGCAATAAAGCAATACAGAAAAATTTATAAAGTTAAAAGTTTTACACAGATTATTCATTTTTGGGTGAACTAACCCTTTAACATTTAATATCAAAATAGGAAACGGTGAATATAGTTTTTATTAGGGTTGCAAAAAGGTGGAAAATTTCCAGTAAATTTTGGAAATATTCCAGAAATGTTGGAAACTTTCCAGGATTTTTTGGAATATTCCAGGGATTTTTGGAAAGTTTCCGGAAATTTACCAGAAATTTTCCAACCCTTTGCAACCCTAGTTTTTATTATATTTAATTTTATTATTATTATTTTGGTGTTTCTTGCCTTTATTTTGAGAGTACAGTTAGTTGACAGCAAAGTGGGAGAGAGAGAGTAGGGGTGGGATCGGGAAAGTTCCACGAGCTGAGACTCGAACTCGGGACGCCCAATATTTTTATTATTTTATTTTTATTAAAAACCTGTTGAACTGCAAAACTGTTATGGTACTTTTATCAATTCCTTATCATGCTCTGCTCACACCCGCAGTCGGACATGCTGAGGTCCCTCGCCAACACAAAGCCCACCGTCAACGAGCAGGATCTGGAGAAGCTGAAAAAGTTCACCGAGGACTTTGGACAGGAGGGCTGAACAGAGCCGGTCTCCCGAAACCAAAGCAAACAGATTGTGATTGTCACGTCTTCTCTCTTGCCCTTCACACGCCCCTCTCTTCCTTTCGTACCCATGCTCTTCCTCTGACCGACGAGCCCCCTCAGCTCAGGCTAAAGGCTAGATGTCATTTGAAATGTGTATCTCTTCAAGCCCACCTCAGTTTTTCTTCACATGTTAATAGCTGCTCTGCCTGCAAGGCTGCCATCAGTACCTTGTGACCATCATGCATCATCCTTGTGTCTCAATCATAATTATCTGTGCTTTCTATGAATAACACAGTCAGCAGGAGCTACAACAGATGTGCTGTAAAACAATTAGCAATTATAATTTGTTCCTAAACTAATACTAATGTCAGTTTTGTTTACAGTCACATAAATCTGAATGGACAATAGATAAGCTCTGACGACACATGAAGACTTTCCAGCTCCGTTTTAAAATGTTTTTGTTGGCTGTGCTTTGTTTTGTAGGAGAAGAACCATTTAAATAGCTTCTTGTCTGTTGTTGCAAAGACCTCTTTGGGTGCAGGTGTAGACTTCGTTCACAAGGGTAGTGAGATCTGTCTTTCCGGAGCTGTGTTTTCCTTCTCGTTTGAGAAAGTCATGGTTTGAATCTGTGCATCGGGATTTGATTTAACACTTAAAGATCCGCATTTAACAATTCAGGCACTCTTTACATATACTACATATGGTTTTATCTCCATGTACATCATTACTTCCAGTATATTACTGTAAAATGTGCTCTTCCTTCACTGAGATATGAGTTGCATTATATGTTGAGGGGCCAATGTTGGACGTTCGTTGTAAATTCACTTGCTGAGGCTCAGCACACAACGTGCCTTCTTTGCATTTTCCTCCTGTCTGTCTCTCTCGATCTGCGTACACATAGATGCACAAATGATGCTTATTGATGGCTATATAACTGTTTTTATAGGCAGAAGGTTTGGGAATGATTGGATGATATTTGCACATTTCATTTAAAACTTTACAAACATATATATCAATCTGTATACAGCTCCTATGCACTTATAGGGTGTTTGGTTTGCCATTTAAAAACCTATAAGACATTGTACTATTAGAATGTAGATGTATTTGGTTTGTTTTAAGGATAAGTCTTGTTAAACAGACAGTTTGCAGACTGTTTAAAAGTGGTTGATCTTGTTCATTTTAATATTCACATGTAAATAAAGGTTGAAATGAAACTAACCTGACTTATTTGTTCCTTTAATGCTAATGTTTTCACATAAACTCCTAAAACGCTCATTCCCTGTCAATCTGTCGGTGCTGTATTTTTTATTTATTTATATTTTTGATAGCGGGTTGACGGACATGCCATTGTGGGCGGTGTTTTTGGATAAAGGGCTTATGTTCGTCAGTGGCGAAGATGGAAAAAGAAAATACCATTTCAACGCTCCTCAACATGAATTAAGAAAGTGACAGTTTTAACAGTCTTCCTGCTCTGGAAAGAATGTTGAACTTTGGAACTTGTAGTCCGTTTTCTATAAAAGTCGCATTCTGACGCGGTAAGCGGAGGTTTAAAAAAAACTACAACTCCCATAATTCCACCGCTCAAACGCAGCCAGCATCCCGTTTAAAGTGCATAGATTCTCTGTTTTGGTTCAAGTAGTGAACGGAAAGAGTGAGCTTTTGCAGTCTCACGGCTTGAATTTAGTATTTAATCTACAGCTCAAGCCTCTAACACATCACTAGATAACAACAGAGCATAAACGGCTCGTTCGAAGGCCTGTTATCTTCTGTCCGCGAGACGGGGGAGTGTCTGGAATTGGACATTTAGCTTGTGAGCTAACGTCAGCAGCATCAGGTTGACCCATGTCCTCCGCGCTCTCACACTGGTTCTCCTTTAACTCCTGGTGGCTGCTTCTGCCGTTCGTTATGCTCCTGGTAGTGGCTGCTTTCATCGTGGCCTTTGTGCTGCTGCTGTACATGATATCCCCGTTAATAAGCCCCAACCCGCTCAAACTGAACGGGGCCCATGTGGTGGTAAGTTCATGTAACTGTTATTTAAATCTGTTAGAAATAACTGCACACAGACCTCATAACATCAGAAGCAGCTAAGCTAACAAGAAACGAATGCTATAAGGTTATTGTCAATAGGTCCTGTAGTCCATCTATCGAAAAAGCCTAATAATTTAATTGCATTAACTGTCAGTGTTGGTGCTTATTCGTAGAGTGATTATATGAATTGATAGTAGACAAGCATAAACCTAATGATGCTGTGATCATCACTGATAATTATTCATTATGTAACGCATGCAGCAGTGCAGATGTGCATTTGACTTGATCAGTTGCTGAAACTGTTATTGCTTCAGATTGCAAATGCACATCAAATTAACTAATATTCATGTTAATAAAGGTCATATTTCACTGGAGGCCAAATAAGTGTAATTGTACTGGTTATGCAACCATCTGTTCCAGGGCAATGGACCTTTTCAAGCGGCAACTGCATGTTTGTGCATTTGCTTGGGTTCATAGTTTATCAAGAGCTCAGACTTATCTAGTTGTAAATGAACATCATGTTGAGCTAGAAATAGGCAATGTTTATCTGTGATGATTTCATGGGATATTTTGCAAAGCGTTGTTCATAAAATGCCTATTTTCATGTATTCATGCTTTATGCAGTTGATTGTATTCATAGAAACATCAGAATGAATTCACATAGATAGAGCATTCATACATTTTCACAGGCAGCACACAGAATGAAAAGCCATGATTCTATTTGTTCCATTTGTTGTCGTCCATATATGCATGTTAATTTTTTTTATTATTGATCAGTTTTAACCCTGTAAAACCTAATATATTACCAGAAAATATAACTTTTTATTGACAAATAATTTTATTTTGATTTGAACTCTTTATTGAAACTTTAGACAAAAAAAAGTGCTCATGTTGCGAAAAAAACAAAAACAAAAAAAAACATTTTATTCAAACTGAGCAAACATATGCAATTAGGTGCAGTTGCTGATATTTTTATGGCCAAAACGTTAAGATGAAATTACTGAAATTCTAATCAGTAAAGGTGGTGAAAAAACTATAAACTATCAATTGGGCGAAAGAAGGCATGCAAGTACATTGTGTACAACAGGTAAGTATTGATCATGTTGATAATTTACAGGCCTTAGAGATTCAGTAGGCTTCATAGGGTTAAGTCATGACTCAAACCCCATCAGTCTTATGCATTATTGTTAAAAATCCATTTATGGAGAATATGAACAGGATTTTTAGATCTGCTACCTAACTGTTGCACTCTATATCTACTGGATGAGAACAGATGCACATTCAGTGGCACCTGCAGTGTAGATAATTGCTTGTTTGGTGAATTTGTTTGTACTCCGTCTCTTAGTGCTGTTTGCATATTTTAGTAAAATATAATGAACCATGACTTGCTTGGTTTGTAATAAATCTGCTCTGAATGGCGTGTCCATCATCAGGTGACCGGAGGCAGCAGTGGGATTGGGAAGTGTATTGCCATGGAATGCTACAAACATGGTGCCTTCATCACTCTGGTGGCACGAGATGAGGTCTGTAACATGCATGTCAATGGATGTTAGGGGTGCAACGGTTCAACTTACTCACGGTTCGGTTTGTATCGCGGTTTTAGTAGGTTCGGTATGTGCTATGTTTAGGGAAAAAACTATATTGTCAAATAAAAATAAAGAAAATAAGAACAAATAATCTAACTACAAGCAACAGCACAAATAAATAAACAGTGAAAAAAGATACAAATAAAATAAACAGTGCTTTTTAGTTTTTTTAGGTAGGTCTAACATAGTTTTTAGGTACAGAAATTGAATAAATCAAATGTAAAATAACTGCATATTTGACTGTATAAATTAAAGATTAATCCTTATTAAAGTTACAAAAGTTATTCATCAGTGAGAGATGTCCGTGTTGTTGCTGTCTGAGTAACATTAAGAAAGTGCTGTCACTTTAAGAGAACGCACTGATACTGTATGTTCAGCCGACTATGTCTGCTAGTATACTCACCAAGACGGGCATTTTGACATAATTTTTGTGTGAATTTGTCCATTCAAACACAATACTTCACAGAGAGCTTAATATTTGCGCGCGTTCTGAGTTGTTCTGATCTTCTCACTGCGCGTGCGAGTTCACATCTTCTGGCTCTTTAATATTTAAACTGGCAAGGCTTAAATGAGTTTAGTTTAAACACAGATAGCAACGTGTGCTGTTCAGGTCTCACCTGCGTTATCAACACGTGATGATGGCATAAATGACAGTTATTCCAGCATAAAGCACTCGCATTGATTAAAGAGTGACTGGTTTGTCCACGTATTGTTTTTTTGTTTCTCTCTCATCACTCTTGTTGTAATGTATTGGGAAGCCAGAATTTGTATCCATCAACAGAAACATGCATTAGCCGAACTCTAACAAACCATATTACAGATGCATTGTCAGATTTAAGTTGAACCGCGGTCCTAGTGTATGCCGAACCCTGTGTGGAGAATGGTACGGTTCGATTTTTTTTTCCGAGAACCGTTGCACCCCTACTGGATATCATCTGTCACTCGCTCTATACACTAGCGTCAAAAGTTTGTGGTCAAGAATCTCTTATGCTCAACAAGGCTGCATTTATTTGAACAAAAATACAGTAAGAACAGCAATATTGTGAAATACTATTATACATTTATCGTTAAAGTTTTCTATTGTAATATATTTTCTAATGCAATTTATTCCTGTGATGCAAAGCTGAATTTTCAGCATCATTACTCCAGTCTTCAGGATCCTTCAGAAATCATTCTAATATGAGGATTTTTTTGACGAAAAGAAAGTTAAACAGACAGCGATTATCTTGATTTGGAACATTTATACATGTCTTTGTCACTTTTGATCAGTATAATGCATCCTTGCTATTAATTTCTTTTAGAAAAAAAGTGCTGAGCCCAAACTTTTGATTGTTAGTAGACATCATAATTATTGCTGTCATTGGAAGTTATTAAATATTTGTGGGTGTACATCTTTTTCTACAGCACAAACTGGTTCAAGCCAAGAAAGAAGTGGAGAAATGTGCCATAAATGATAAGCAAGTATGTATTTCTTTGGTATGTTTATATATCTTTAAATGTAAGTATGTATTCTTGGCTATATTTTTGGCTATTGCACTCAAAATCAACTCAGAAATCTTAAATGGGCTTACCACGTATGATTATTGTTATGATCACCTCTAGGTGGTGCTTTGCATTTCTGTTGATGTGTCGAAAGACTACAACCAGGTGGAGAGCGTCATAAAACAAGTATGTTTATTCCGTTTCATAAGAATCATATGGTCAGCATTTATTCTGGTCATTGTTTTGAAACATTAACTGCTATTTATGTTTTCTTCGGATGGTTTGCGATGAGGCTGCTGACTGTTGTGTTGTGTTTGCTACACAGGCTCAAGAGAAGCTGGGTCCTGTGGACATGCTGGTGAATTGTGCTGGGACGTCTATATCTGGGAAATTTGAGGAAGTGGAAGTCGACCGCTTTAAGGTAAGAGCAGCATATCATAGACACTCAGGTGGGCATTTTCAGATTATGCTAGTAAGAAACCACCTTGCAACACCCTCTGGCCCTCAAGAACCACTTTCCTGCAGAGTTTAGCTCCTAAGTTAACCCTAATCAAACCCAGTTAAATAAGATAATCAAGTGTTTCGTCCAAACCCGCTCCATATATAGTGCACTGTATCAGGTGTCGGCCTTTTTGTGTCTGAAATCTGAGTGAACAACTTAATTCCCTGCAATCATTCGCTTGTTTATACCCACAATGCATTCTGATTTCTGAAGCACTATTTCCAAAACTCCACCGCAGATAGGACTGACAAGCTGGAAGAGAGAGTGCGCTAGAGAGCGGAAACAAGCGATGCAGCTTTTAAAGAGCAGAGCACATATTGAACAGTGGTGGATAGTTTAAAAGTATTCATTATTCACCTGTATGTAGCATATTCATTTTAACACATTCATAGCAGTCGCTTAGGGTGCTATGTGTCCATGACATCTTTTATCTGAGAGAAAAAATGCTGCTCGGGGAGACACTAAAAATAATAAATACATGTACACTGATGTACACTAATAATCGTTTGTTGGCAGTATTTAATTATTCATTGAATGATTATGAACACAAATTAAGCATTACAAACCAAAATAGTATTTATTGTATTGTACCATAGACAAAACCACAAAGCTGGCATAGAGGTATGTATAATTACAAAATAAGTTTGTTATAGTTGTTATTTTTAAGAAATACATGTATGATAAAATGACATAAGTAGTGGTTCAACGGATCACAAATCTCACGGTTCGGATCACATTCGTGTTCGCGCGCCGTCTGAAACGCATGTGTGCGGCTGTGCGCGTAGAGAACAGCGCGCGAGTAACGAATCGAGTTCCCTTTCGCCTTTTCTCTCTGGAATTATTTAAAATTCGCTTGCTTGTGTAAATACGAACAAATGATAAACTTATACTCTATTATGGTTAAATTTTGCAATTAATCCGCGGATCACATGCGTGCCGAACCGTGGGGCTTGGTCCGTACGGATCACGGATCAACTACGATCCGTTTAACCCCTAGACATAAGTGATGAAGCTGTTTCTGCTCCAGCTCCAGTTCAGTGCACTCAACTGTCATACACTATATAAGAATTAGTGAATGAGTAAATGAATGAATAATTGAGCAATTTTGGACTTCAGGATTACTAGTTTTTTACTAGATTACAAGTTACAGGCTGGTGAGTTTGATCAAGGTTGGAGCTAAACTGTGTAGGAAAGCGAGAACCACTGCTCTAGAAACGACTCCAAATACCCTAACAATTCCTCTAGCATTATAATGGTGAGAAATCTGTTCCTGAGGTGAAGTGTGTGCTCTCTTTAAACAGAAACTGATGGAGGTGAACTATCTGGGCAGCGTTTACCCCACCCGGGCAGTGGTCACCACTATGAAGGAAAGGCGGATGGGCCGCATCATGTTTGTGTCGTCACAGGCAGGGCAGATCGGCCTTTTTGGCTACACGGCTTACTCACCGTCCAAATTCGCCCTGCGTGGTCTGGCTGAGGCCTTACAGATGGAGGTGTGTGTGTATGCGATATGCTCGCTCAGTATCTACCACATTACAGTCCGTTGAAACTTTGATTTTAATTTAGTCTCTCGTCCTGATCTTTCCTAGATGAAGCCCTATAATATCTATGTAACTGTGGCGTATCCTCCAGACACTGACACTCCAGGTTTTGCGGAAGAGAGTAAGACTAAGGTGAGATAATAGATATTTTTTTCCTTACTAAAATTAGTCTCTGAATATTAAATACCTGGAATATTAGAATAGAACATTAATATTAATAGAATATTTAAAAGTGAAGGATTTCTAATAATGCGGGTCTGTGCTCTGTTAAATAGTTGGATCTTTCTTTTTGAATTTTACAAATATATGGAGTGCTAATATTGGGTGGCTTTTTGTCTCTGCAAAAAGCAATGCTGGATAAAACATTTTGCTAACACTTTATTTTAAGGACCAATGCTCACTCTTAACTAGTTGCTTATTAACATGCATATTCCTAGAATACTGGCTGTTTATTAGTATTTATAAAGCACATATTAATGCCATATTCTGCGTGAGCATATTTTAGATCCTTTAATCTCTACCCCATACCTAAACTTAACAAATACCTTACTAACTATTAATAAGCAGTAATTTAGAAGTTTGAGGCAAAAGTCATAGTTAATAGTTAGTTAATAGTGAGAATTGCTCCCCAAACTAAAGTGTGACCCTTTTTTTTTTTTCGCCCTGCCTATGTGTTTTATTCTTCTGGTTTTGACTCTCTATTTGGCAGCCTCTGGAGACCAAGTTAATTTCAGAAACATCTGGAGTCTGTCAGCCTGAGCAAGTAGCAAAAATTGTGGTGAAGGATGCAGTGGTAAGTAGGGATTGGTCAAGATAGTCAACTACCCATCCAACAATAGTTGAATTCTGATCATTTTCTCACACTTGTGTCAGTCCAGACTTGCATGACTTCATTTCTTCTGCATGTGGAACACAAAAGAAGTTATTTTGAGAAAAAAATCAAGGTTTTTTGTCAGTGGTCTTCAAAATATTTTAATTTTGGGTGAACTATATCTTTAACACACTAGTCAATTTTGATAACCTTCTGCTCCTTCAATTAAATCTGTTGATTTAATAAATCACATTTGATTTTTTTTCTAATTCAGTTTGATATTAAGCCTAAATCACAGTACTAATTATATTTTTATATAACATTATATAATATAAAGTATAATACTGTAATAACTATTGTTGTTTCTGTTCACTCACAGCAGGGAAATTTCACCAGCTCATTTGGACCCGATGGCTACATGCTGTCAGCGCTGACCTGTGGGATGTCACCTGTTACCTCCATCACTGAGGGGCTGCAGCAGGTACGGCCCATTATCACAAAACACTGAGAGTCTGAGTCTAGTGCAACAGTGTCATCATATTTGACTCGCTGACAATACCTTAGGAGATGGAAATGGATGACTCCTCCCTTTTCACGTAAATTATTTCTGTATCATGTGCCTTTCATCATCCTGCTTGGCCTTTGTATCTTAGTAACATCATGTTTGCATTCAGCTTTCGCAGGGCTATTTGAGTCAATCACAGTCTTAGATATTCCCTTTGAAGATTTTAATGAGCCTCTTGACTTTTGCCCAGCTCTTCACTGACTCAAAACTCTTTAAAATCTGAGGAATAAACCTGAGAGATCAGCCAAATGGCATTGTTTTACTCCTCCTTTTTTATGAATTCCTTTGAAAAATAGAAGATATAGTCACAGCAGATTTGAAAGTAAAACAGATTCAGATGTTATCAGCATGTGAAGAAGGAATCTTTGTACGCAGAACTCTACAAATCATTTTGGCCAAAACAATTTACCTACCAATAACAGTGTAGAACCATTTTTAAATCCTTTCTGTGACATTCAGCATATTTTCCATATATGTGAAGAAAGTCTGCAGATTCAGTCTGTGGCAGTGTGTCTGTAGTATCACAGTGTGAAAGCTTTTATTACTTCTATTCTTCTATTCTTTATGTCTTGTTGACAAAATTATTATGAGGTTTCTAAATCAGTCCAGCTGTTTGATGTCATGACAACTACCCACAGTTTGGATTCTGTGCAATTTTTAACCTAATAAGAAATGTACAATAAGAAATGTTCTGTTTTTAAAAGTAGATAGATGGATAGATTTGTGGGTAGGTTAGAGATAGATAGATAGATGTATAGATATGATGGAGGTATAGATAGATAGATAGGATGGAGGGATAGATAGATAGATAGGATGGAGGTATAGACTGAATATCTAAGCAGATAGATAGATAGATAGATAGATAGGATGGAGGGATAGATAGATAGATAGATAGGATGGATGGAGGTATAGATAGAATATCTAAATAGATAGATAGATAGATAGATAGGATGGAGGTATAGATAGATAGATGGATGGGTGGATAGATAGATAAATAAATAGATGTATGTATGCATGTATGTATGGATGGATAAGTAGATAGATAGGTGGATGGATAGACAGAATATCCAAGTAGATAGATAGATGGGTGGGTGGATGGATGGATGGATGAATAGACAGAATATCTAAGTAGATAGATAGATGGATGGATAGACAATAGGATGGAGGTATAGATAGATAGATGGATGGGTGGATAGATAGATAAATAAATAGATGTATGTATGCATGTATGTATGGATGGATAAGTAGATAGATAGGTGGATGGATAGACAGAATATCCAAGTAGATAGATAGATGGGTGGGTGGATGGATGGATGAATAGACAGAATATCTAAGTAGATAGATAGATGGATGGATAGACAGAATATCCAAGTAGATAGATATATAGATAGATAGGATGGAGGTATAGATAGGATAGATAGATGGATGGATAGACAGAATATCTAAGTAGGTAGATAGATAGATAGATAGATGGATAGACAGAATATCTAAGTAGGTAGATGGATGGATAGATAGATAGATAGATAGATGGATGGATGGATGGATGGATGGATGGATAGACAGAATATCTAAGTAGGTAGATGGATGGATAGATAGATAGATAGATAGATAGATAGATGGATGGATGGATGGATAGACAGAATATCTAAGTAGGTAGAGGATAGATAGGATAGATAGATAGATAGATGGATGGATAGACAGAATATCTAAGTAGATAGATGGATGGATAGATAGATAGATAGATAGATAGATAGGATGGAGGTATAGATAGATAGGTGGATGGATGGATGGATAGATGGGTGGATAGATAGATAAATAAATAGATGTATGTATGCATGTATGTATGGATGGATAAGTAGATAGATAGGTGGATGGATAGATAGATAGATGGATGGATGGATGGATGGATGGATAGATAGGTAGGTAGATAGATTTTGTTGTTTTTCTGTGATGTGTTCAGATGGTCATATTATGTCACTCTGTCCAGATTGTGACGATGGGGTTGTTCCGCACCATCGCTCTCTTCTACCTGGGCAGCTTCGACAGCATCGTCCGCCGCTGCATGATCCAGAGAGAACAGTCCAAAGCAGCAGACAAGAGGGAGTAGCACCAGCATTCCCACCACATCCATCTCCATCAGCACCACTACATTCACACACACACACACACACACACACACACACCTCACAGCACACACTGCACCGCCCCGGCCCGGCAGACGTGTTCAAATGGGTAGAAGAGGTCCACCCTGACAAAACACTGTTTTTGCTCATTTGTTTCAGTAGACCTGTAATAGGCGTCCATCTTTCATGAATTGTCTTTCAGGACCCCTATCATTCCAGTGCATGCTGCATCAGTATTTCAAGCTCTTTAAAACAAACAACTTTATATGCATTGAAATGATTTACTCTTTGGCTCTCACTGCCTCTAGTACATTCTCTCGTTTATGAAAGTTTGTGGTTGTTCTCAAAACCACATACTATCTGAGTTCTTGTTCTAGCTTGTTGGCGTAATGCCATTTCAACACTAGAATTAATTTCAGAGATGTTGAGATTATATTGAGATGTTACAATTTGCCGTATAGGTCTGTAAAAAAATCTGTATAGGTGAAGAACAACAACTTCACTTATGTTACAGCGAGGTGAAGAACTGTTCTTTTGACTGGTCTGTGATGTTCGTAGTCAAGCACTGTATCTTCCTGCTTTTAGATTTCATAGTTTTAAGGTACGGACACAGGACATCTGCGTTTTCGGATGAAACAGCCTGAGTCTGCCACTCTGCCTTATCGTCTTTGCTCTGTGTGGGGCTTTCTGAAGGAAATGTTTACCTTATAAATGTGCGTGCGAGTGTGTATGTATATTTGTCTGCTTGTACGCATGCGTTTAGGTGACCTCAGGGGCTTCTAAGAGTTCACTGAACTGAAAAATGGGTCAGGATAAGCCATTGCGGTGGTTAAAGGCTCGCTGGCTCGAGTCAGTGCACCTCTCTGCCAACAGATGGAGCTGGAGATCCAAACGGATCAGGTGTAACCTGAGCAAAAGCCTACATGTGCAGCAGCTCGTGTTAAAAGCTGATCTAGAATCAGTCATAGTCGGATGGTTCCATGTCCACAACCCCAGAACTCTGTAGTATTGAAGGTGAATAAATGTGAGTACATCGAGTGTTCACGCAGGCATTTCAAATACCATAGATGTTGTGAAGCTTGATCAGATTTGGACACCAAAACAAGCAATATGGCTTCCACAAGTCAAGTGAATTTCCTCGTGCTCTGCTCTGTCGTAACGTGAAATGGATGGTTCCAGCATATAAACTGTTTTCTGATTTAGGCCTTCCAAACTTGCCCCTTGTCCTTGTTGCGAGTCGTACCTTACTGACAACACAATAGCTAGAGAGAAAATGACACTTACTAATGCTGTTGTAATATTCGCCTTTCTCACGGTCACAAGCAAACGGGGAGCATGTGATGTGATCACACCCTACAGTTATGCGAGCGGATGTTTATGAGGAGTCCATCTCTTGAATGCCTGAATGCACAGAAAAGAGTCCATTTAAAGTGACCGTTCACCCAAAAATTAACATTCTGTTATTATTTACTCGCCCTCATGTTCTTCCAAACCCATAGGACTTTCTGTTTTCGGTAGAACACAAAAGGAGAAGTTTAGTGGAATGTTCATGCTGCTCCTTTCCTTACAGTGAAAGTGAATGGGGCCTGCAAAGCTCCAAAATAAACAAAAAAGTAGTGTAAAAGTGATCCATATGAGATGCAATATTTTTTATTTCTTCTGAAAAAGCACGATTGATTTGTGTGAGAAACAGAAAAATGTAAGTCCCTTGAATTAAAGATCTTGAATATGCAGTACATGAGATTTGAGAGTTATGGCATAGGTACAGTTTTCTGAGTATTGAGTTACATTTTGGCTTCTTATGGCTTCAAGACATCAAATATAGTGTGCATGATTCGTATAAACTACTTTAATGGTGCTTTTTTTTCATTTTATGGAAAAGAGCAGCGTAAACATTTGGCTAAATTTCTCTTTTCCGTTCCACAGAAAAAAGAAAATCCTACCGTTTTGGAACGACATGAGTGTGAATAAATGATGACAGAATTTTCATTTTTGCTTGAAGTAACACTTTCATTCAATACAATGTTTTTTTTATGCTGCTCTGTTTTTCCTAGAACATACCTGCAAACTCGTCACCTTTGTTTTTTGATGCCTAATAGTGATTATAAGCACAGCGCCGTACAGGGGTAACCGCTGTATTACTGCTTTCCCATAACGTATTTAATAGCTTGTAACGTGGTTATCCATTGCTGTTTTTGTCAAAACTGTAACATGTGTAAATCATAGCGTTATGGTCATTTTAGAGTTTAGGTTACCATACACATAGGTGTTGCTACCTAAACAACATGTAGTTCTATTCCAATATTATATCGAATTTTCCAAAACGACTTGAATCCAGTACATTTTTAGAAGAAAAATCCCCCTTTTCCATTCCCTGTCACCTTTTTTCGCCAGCCCAGAGTTTGCAGGTATACTAGAAACCCTTGACCAATGCAGTCAGGCACTACAGTCATGGAGGCCCATTTTGAAGCCTTAAGAGATCCAAACACGGACCACTACAAAAGCTATAAGGGTTGATACCTCCACATCCAACTATGGCATAGATTGTGTATGGTTTACGTATATTTGTTACAGTCTGGAAAAAGACATTGTTTTTGCTTGTTTGTACATTATTTGCTATGGATATTTTTTACAAAAAGACCCAAAATATGAAAATGAGAATGCATGAGTCAAAACGACGATGTTCTCATTTGATATTGGCTCAAGGCACGTCGTCCAGCACATAGTAGCTATAAGTTAGGTGCCGATATGTGTCGGACATACGATTCGGTCGTGCCCTCTTCCGTAACACATGGACGTAGTCATTTGTTTAGCCGTTAAGAAGCTAACAGTAGAGAAATTGTTTTGAACTCCTTAAAGCTATGCAAATCAAGCCTGTGCTCACAATTCATTCAAACACACAAGAGGACGCTAGCGGGTTTTTTTTTTTAAGTCGTCTGCTATAGTTCACTCTTTTATTGACTGAAGTTGAGATATTTCTGAGAATAAGATGCATAGTTTGAGTAACTTTTAAAAGAAAGACCAACTTGGATGTGTTCTGCTTCTATGTTTTGTGAGTTTCTTTTTTCCTTAGTCATTTGTTGCCAAACTTGCATAAATTTCACCTTGCGTGCCATGGGAGAAAAAAAGGATGTTGTTGCTTTGTCTTATTTTCTTAATGAAAATAAATAACTTTTGAAAGGTAATTCAGTGTCAGATTCTTTTAAAATAGTGTAAAAGTCCTGTTACTGTATGTGGGTGGAAAACCTTGTGATGGAAAAAAATGAAAATATTTATATATATAATAATGTAAATATTTCTACTTATGCTTGAAAATATTTAGAAATGAATTTTTAATAATAATAATTTGTAAAAATCACAGTCAGAAGAGACTGGAAAGCTTGTGTTAATTATTTGCTCAAAACATATGCACTACATGTGTCCTATCTAACATTTTCCTATTTAACTTTTAGTGATCTACCGTTTTTGATGAACAAGACAGGACTACATGTAAACTGGTTCACTGTTGCTGAAAGTACAATACATTGCATACCTCTGTCAGTAACATCAATATTATGGCCTGAACCTGATCCTTTACTTTGCATTCCTTCTTTGAAACACTTTACTGACTGGTGTCAGTCTGAAATAGCCAACTCCAGAAGCCTAACTTTGCCCTGAATAACCTGGTCAGAACTGACAGAGGGAGAAAGCAAGTTGGGCTCAAACCTGAACCTTTTTAAAGCCCTGCATTGAAACGCAATGCTGCAGACACAATGTTCTGTCTCTGAAGCCGGGACTGCCAGCAGGGGTCATATGTATGTTGTAGTCATTTTGTTCTGCAATAATTCATAGGCTATGGCTTGAGTTGGTTCACCTTTAGTCAAAGCAGGGTCGACTGCGCGGGGTGCTGAAAGATCAAAGGCCTTGCTCTGTTCAAAGAAGTTCCAATGCTAATTTTAAGGCGAGGCTGAGGACCAAATTCTGCTCTGCCTGAACAGATGCTGATTTCCATTTCAGCTCATCCGGACCTTTTTGAATCTTCAGACGAGTAAAGATTAAATTACCAATGTATTTTATTTGAAAGAAAAGTGTCAACCAAAAAATAATAATAATTGTGTGTGTGTATATATATATATATATATATATATATACACTGAACAAATTATAAAC